TCCTCTGGGTGTGGGGCCAAACAACGGGTAGAAAGTAGATAGCAGGGTTGGGTTGAGGCCATCAGGGGTTGGGAGCGTGGAATGGAGGCGCGTCACATGGAGATGGCGTTTGAGGCTATGACCACATTTTTTTGCCCATTCTCCTGTCGTTCCCGTCGGTGCCTTCACTTGGACCCCAGGCACACCTTCCGGTCCTGCTTCAGTCTCTAAGGCCCTTTAATACCGGCCTCGCCGCGCGCCCGCGATGGGAGGCACAGCGTGAGCGGGAATTCCAGCCCACGGACTGGACTTCCCTGCGGGCCCCTCGCCAAGATGGCGGCCCCAGGTGCCGGGCGGGGCAGAGCGGCCTTAACTACCAGGCACAGGGGGAACCCCAGAGTCCCTGGGGCAGGTGAGCCGCAGGTATATGCAAGATGCTGATGCCGCTTTCTCCAGGTGCGTAGGGCACTGCTGATGCCTTGAGGTCGCAGAACCGCTAAAACTGGGATAGCCAAGATAAACAAGGTGCCAGGATCAGCGACCTTAAGTGGTGGTAGGACCGTGGAAAGTGGGCTGGAGCTTTCGGGAAGGATACACTGTACAGTGTGGGCAGTGCTGTTGGGAGATTTGTCCACTGGTGATGGTGTGTGGGCCTCAGAATATACGGTCACCTCAGGCAAATGAAGGGCCTTTTTATTAGGAAGGAAAGATGCTGACCTAGATTTACGAGGGTGGTGATTTTTTAAAAATAAGTAGTGAAGAGAGGTCAGAAATTCTATTCCCTCTGTTAACCAGTGAAGCAGATTAAATGGGTGGTGGTGGTTTTTTTTTTTAAGAGTAACCAGCATCTCAAAGAGGAAGGACAGAGAAAACTGAAGAGAGAGCTTTGTCCCTCTGGCCCCAGTATAACCAAGGCGGAGGCATGTTTGGCTCAAATGTGAGCACCCACAGGAAAATTATCCCTACATTAATGACCCAATGCATAAGTGTCTTTTAATGACATGGAGTTGGGTCTCGAAGTTTCGTCTAATGGTCATTTCAACACTCATGTCCCAAGAGTGCAGCTGAGCCCAAACTCATGCTGGGTACACTGTTCCAACAGATTTACGGTTCTTGTGTTTGAGGCTTCCCCGCCGCTCCATGGGTCCCCTGTCCTCAGGGGCAGGTTCCTTATTTCAATTACTGCCTTCAGTGTAGTCTGGTCTGTCCCACCTACTTTCTACCTCTCCCACCTTACATCCTGAGGGTATAAGGGAACATGTAACATTACCACCATTGACAAAACAGAAAAATGTATAGGAAACAGGGTGGGGGGGGGACCACTGGAGCAGTAGCTGCAGTTCCAGACTTCAATCAATATTTTAATTACCAAGTCTATATTTAGCAAGACAATGTGGGAGAGAGAAAGAGAAAGGAAGGGGTAGGTGGTAAGAGGGCCTCAGAGGTGCTGACCCACTTTCTGCACCGGCTGCAGAGCCCTGCAGTCCTGGCCAGGAGTTCCTGGTCTTGTGCCCTTCAGAAGCCTCGACAGGCCTCAAAGGAGGGGTTTAAGCTGCAGACCCCATCAAAGAGACACATGTCATCAGTACTGTCCTTTAATCTTCCTTCACTCAGCAGCTGGGGAAAAAGGGGCCGGCCAAGGATTTCAGGTAGGGTCAGTGTGACTGCACTGTCACCACAACAGCCTTGACTGTGGCATTGAACACGATGGCTGGAAGCCTAGCAGCAGGGATTGCAGCAGGGATGTCTCTGGGGACCCTCTGCATGGGTGGGATGTTGGGGCCCTCTAGTGTGTCCAGGATCCCTGAAAGGAAGAGGATGGAAGGTGAGCGTGAGTTGGCTGGGCCCTACCCTAGGCAGCTGTTCTTCCCCTCCTCCATATCCAGACCTCCTGTCACTTACCCTCTACTACCTTGTGGTAAGCAAAATGCAGATAAAGCAGGAAGAGCATATGCAGGGCAGCCAGAGTGCCACAGAGGAGCAGCCGTTGTGTGGGGCCCACAGTCCGTGACACCAACACTGCCACCTAGAGCCACAAGAATACAGCTTAGACGGCCTGGCTCCAAAGTGAGTGGTGTGAAGATACTCCTTCCCGGAGCAGAACGATCTTTGGGATCTTCCCTCCCACTTGGAGCCTTTTGTGGGATTTGGCCCAAGCTCTGGGCTGCTTTCTCCAACTCTTCAGGAGCACAGCCCACCCCTGGAAATTTCCTGCCCAGCTTACCATGCGCAGGGTGGACAGCCCCCCTACCAGCAGCCAGAAGAGGTAGAAAAGGGCATGGAGGTGGATGTTATAGGTGATGAAAAGGACAATGCAATGCCCAAAGAGGCCATAGCCCTAGAAAAGAGGATGGTGGAAAGGGAAATCACTCAGGCTGGCTGGCCTCTGGACCATCATGAAGACCCTGAGAAATAAATAGTCCACTGACCTCACTCCAGGCCCTGGGGCCCCAGGACAAATGCAGACCAAGGCCTGGCTACTCTTTTAAGATCACCCTTGCCCACCACCATGCTAGACTCCTTACCAGCAGTGCCAGCATCTGGAGCATGGTGATCTGGGCGTTGCACAGGTAGGCGAGGAAGTAAATGAAGGATGAGACGCCCAGCCAGTAGCCGAAGCAGGTGCCAATGGCTGTTCCCATCAGGGTGCCCTCCCGCTGTGGGGTGAAGGCTCTACTTAGTCCTGGGAGGCCAATGGTCTCAGCTTCACCCAGGGCTGTCCTCAGGGATGCTTCTAACTCACTCCATCATCTTATCCTTGGGCAGGTTTCAACTCAGTTCAGCCACCCCCCAAAGTCTTCTGTTCTGCTTACGATAATGGTGTCAGAGGTCTTCATCCCGTGGAGGAGGATGGCGACCAGGGTGAAGACCAGCATGAGAGGTCCATAGAGCTCACCTGCGATTTTCTGTCAATACACCAACTCATTCAGCATGGAGGGTAGAATGGCTCTTCTGTTTATTCCTTCCCCAGCTTTGCCTGGTGGCCCCGCCCTCTGCCTTAGTGCCTCCCCCGGCTGTTCCAGTCATGCTACCCCTATTCACCTGGGGGAAGTTGACCATCTTGATAGGGATCATGGACTCCAGGAGCCTGGGAGAGGAGAGGAGAGGAGAGGAGAGATGAGAGCAGAGATGGCACTAGGCTATGAAGTTCTGGAGGGCCTGAATCTTATTTATCTCTCTAATTCCAGAGAACATACTAGATGGTAAAAGAAGAAGAGGGTAGTAAAGATAAAGAATGAGGAAATCACTTCCTTGCCCCTAAAAATGCTTCTAGGAAGGACAACCCTCTGATGCTGTGCTGACTGAAGCAGCAGCAATATGGGGAACTCAGGGAGCCCAGCTGGGTCTTGGGAGAGGGCTTGACAATTTACCTATTTGACCTGATCCCCTTTAAAAGGCAAACCTCAGCAGAGAATGCCCAGAATTCCGAACTGTGATGGTGAAGCCCTGGGAAAGGTTTAGAAGGAAAGGTGTTACTTGAGGGAACCAGTGTGCCTCCTGCCTCTTTCTGCTTACCATTACTCCAGGTACCACTGAGCATTTTCTTGAAATATATTTGAAGTGATATGAAAATTCCAGGTAGAAGGATAAAAGTATAAGTCACTTCCCCATTCTCCTCTTAAGTCGCTAACTCCTAGTAGTACTTTGGCTAGATTTTAGCCCCTCTGGGAAACCTGCCCTGTCCCACCTCCAGCCTACTGTGGGTCAAGTGTCCCTCCTGTGTGTCTCTTCATGGCAAATGAGTGCTGTACTGTAATTGCACTCAAGGGCAAGGCTCCCCTCTTTTTTCACCACTAAATCACAACTAGTGCAGTGCCTGGCACAGAGCAAAAGTTTAATAAGTACTTGCTGAGTATACTAAGTATTTGGTAAGCGTTGGTTAAATTAAACTATGAACAAAGTACCAAGCCAAGATTAAATCTAATTCTTGAAAACTCATTCGGCAACTATGTACTAATATTCTGGTTCACAGACTTTTCTAGTGCTGGGAATAAAAAGATAAACAGAGCCTACTTTTGAGAAAGTCTCTGGGGAGACAGACGCAAGAATAAGAAAGTACAGCACTGCTGAAGTGTTATCTGTTAGAGGAAAACACAGAGCTCTCTGAGAGTACCAGGAAAGGACGAACTGGGAGTGGGGTTGAGGAATGGGTAACAAGGTGACATTTGAGCAAGGTTTTAAGGGAAGATGAGTAGTTTACTAGATGGAGAAGAGGAAGAAGGAAATGTGTTAACACCATGTCCTGTTCCAGACTGGTAAGAGGAATGGTGTGGCTGGGGTACAGATGTGTTGATGAGGGATAGTGG